CACTTAAAGCAAAGTGAGAAACACTCACAGACCATGTACAGACATCATCCACCCATCAGTAATAACCTTAACCCCCCCATGACATCTGGAAGGGTGGTGGTCATCTTCACATCAGGCTTGTCAGTGTTGGTAGAAAGGCCCCATAGGTGCTCATCTCCTAGAAGATGTCCAGAGCTACGGTCATCGCTTCATCACACCACAGAAGTCTTTCAAGGATTGAAAGTCCCTTTCAGTAAAGCATTTGATTCCCAGTTTATACACAGTGGATTAAGTTCATTCCAGCGGATTGAAAGGATTCTGGAAATGGCCTCACACAGGGAGATCCACCTTGTGAATGTTGGTACCATTAGCTTCCTGAGGCTGACTTCCTCCAACTGTCCAGCAGCTAATGATTGACTTGCTGTGCCTACATACAGCCTTGGTTTCTGCACTGGAGTTGAGATGTTTGTCAACATCGCTAGTTGAAATCAGGATAATAGTGTGTGATGCACATCTGTAGTGTGGAGGCAGGCTAAAGTGACCATCAGTAGGTCTTCTATGATCTTCTAGAGCTTCTATGACATCTGTAAAAGTTGGTTCCTCTTCATCATTATCTTCTTTTTCAGATTTAGACTCCAAATCAAAGGATGATGAACTCTGAATGCTTTGGCAAAATTGGATGCATTTTCTGTTACCATGGCAACAATTTTGGTAAATGGCCTGTATCGGATACAGTGCCTTCTAGAGTGCTGGAACCCCCAAAGCGCTTTGCAACACTATTAGTCATTCACACGCTGGTGATGATGAGCTACGCTGTAGTCACAGCTGCCCTGGGACATACTGACAGAGGTAAGGCTGCCGTACATAGGCGCCACCGGTGCCTTTGACCACCACCAGTAGGGAAGGTAGGTTAAGTGTCTTGCCCAAAGACACAATGACAGCGACAGACTGAGCAGTGCTCGAACCTGCAACCTTCCCATTACGGGGTGAACTAACTCCTGTGCCACCGTCGCTCCAACCCCAACTTTGCCATGCAGGACATAGGCTGAATGGACCAATCACATCACATGTGTGGCTCCCTCTAATACTCGTACATGCCAGGGCGGCCTGGTAGCGCTGTAGAATGGGATTAAACCGTTACACCCATGAAGTTTTTATTATTCACCGACCAGGGTCAGCAGTGGTGGAAACAAAGTCTGCCTCTTCTACTGCTGCCTTTAAATTGGAGTTCATCATGTCGTATTCTCTCTCGAGGTATCCTGAAAATAGCTTTCTCTGGACACCGCTTTCAGTTGGGATTTTTACTATGATGCATTGGAATGATTTGGAATTCGCACTGGAAATCGGCAACATCTCCTCCATGATACAGCCAGCAATGAGCTTCTTCAGTTCAGCGGCACCAAGGCAGTCTATTTTCTCCGGTTTAGCAGGAGTGGGGCCATCAGTGGAAGCTGACTGAGCAGCTGCAGCAGTAACACCAGTCGGCTTCTCTGTGAGCTTCATGTTCCCGTGTCGGTTTGCTAGGTGCTTGCTCAGGTTGGGAGTTGAATTTTTCGATATAGATAAAAGTTTCCTTCCAATGCAGAGTGTGCTGCGGACACTAATGTTTTTATCAGTTTTTACTGAATGTAATTCTAAGTAGTGCCGATGCTTCCAACCACCCAACGCTGAATGGTCATGCTCGGTACTGTGCTCCAATATTTCCTGTTGTTGTCGCAGGCTTACATGTCACTGTCATGAGATGCGGTCGGCTCAACAAACCAACGCAGCCTGCTTGTGTGGAAGTAATGGCCATTTAATTATGATTTTACTAATTTAATCCCTTATTTTTCTCATTAGTCGAAAAAGTAATTGGATTACAGTAAGGCATTACTTTTCATGCGTTACTGCCCATCACTAGTCACAAGCTTTGGGTAGTGGCTGAAGGAACGAGATCATGGTTACGAGTGGCTGAAGTGAGTTTTCTCCGCAGGGTGTCTGGGCTCTCCTTTAGAGATAGGGTGAGAAGCTTGGTCATTCGGTAGGGCCTTTGAGTAGACCCGCTGCTCCTCCACATCGAAAGGAGCCAGTTGAGGTGGCTCGGGCATCTGGTCAGGATGCCTCCTGCACGTCTCCCTGGAGAGGTTTTCTGGGCACGTCCAACCGGGAAACGACCTAAAGGAAGACCCAGGACAAGCTGGAGAGACTATGTCTGTCACCTGACCAGGAAGCGCCTTGGGATTCCTTCGGAAGAGCTGGTCCAAGTAGCTGGGGAGAGGGAAGACTGGGCCTCTCTACTTAGGCTGCTGCCCCTGCAACCTGACCCTGGATAGGCAGCCAAAAATGGATGGATGGATGGATGGATAGAAGGTTGGGTGGATGGATGGATGGATGTGTTAGACTGAAGCTCTGACTGAAACACGAAGCAGCAAGACTCTGGGTTTTATCACAAGACCGTAACATCTGACCAGGCCTGGAGAACATGCTGGACCACAGGTCCTGTCACACTCACGCCAACCCTGTCAGAAGACACCCAAGTCATCTCCATCTGACCTCTGTTCAAGGTCATCAGTAAAACAGGCAATGACACACGGCTGAACTCAGTTGTGCTGGTCCCCTGTGGGGTCGGGACTAATCATTGACTAGGTGAGATATTACACCCTTATAGAAGATGCTGGTGTTCTGAGAAATATAATAGGACACTAGTTCATACATGATGCTAACTAGCTAATAGCATGTTGAGGTGGACAAGGCTAACCTCTGTGACCTTTCAGGGCTATCTGACAACACTCACATGTGTGGTTTGATGTTGGGGTTCTCTTCTGTGCGAGTCTGAGATGTTCCATTGACTGTTCACTACAGGGTGTTCACTATTGGTGTACAGGCTCATCCTGCCTTTAACCATGGGCGTGTTTTGTTGATTCTCAGATCTTGTTCAATAGTCCCTGCTGACCTCTTCTTGGGGCTCTCATTTCCCCAACCCCTGCTTCCTTCTTCTATGTAGAAAAGGAAAACTGAGAGAAGCTTATTGGTCAGCTTCCTATCTAGCTCCCGCTAGCATCATGACCTGAGCTCGGTTTTCTTTAAAGCTTCTCCTGCTTCAGCTTTTTGGGCCAAATAAGTGTCCGTCATCATCTAATTGCATCTTCCTCTGAACAACCGGCTGGAAGAAGGTGGTTCTGACCCTAATCGTCCCCCCCCACCCCCACCCCTACCCCCCACCCCCACCCCCCCACTGTGTCTCCTCCATAGAGAGACACTTTCTAATATGAAAACCCAAAAGAAACAGATGCCAGGTTTGGTTTGTGACCTATAGTTCAACCCTAAAACAATGATCATTCTGCTATTTTCTTTTGTTTTTAGCATGTACGGGACAATTGCCTACACCAGCAATTTCAATCAGTGTTAAACTGGCGTGACGGGACTAAATGAGGGTAATTTAACACACCATAAAGTCTGCATCATGACGTGTGTCTCAGCAGCACCAGGATCTCCCACCGTACAGCGGCTTCACTCGATCACAGTCTCTGATAGGCCTCTCCATCATTTGTGACATGAGATACTCTGGCTACAGCGCACGTTGGTCCTCATAAATATTGACTACCTCTGTCTTCCTCCACGTGTTCACGCAAATCAGTGTTACATTAGTAGGATCCGACCTGTGCAGCAGTGCCTTATCAAAGCGCCCTGTGATGCCAGGCGTCTTCCACGTTAGTCTGAAGCAGGAAGAGAAGAGAGGACTTGTGTGAGAGAGTGAGCAAGAGTTTGCCCCAGGAGAGAGAGAGAGGAGCGATGAGCTGCATGGTAAGCAGCTGTGTTACACTGTTACGCAGCACCCACCCCTGTCGCTGCGCCTCACAGCTGTTCACAGCTACATTGGCTGCAGCAGATGTTTGGTGACGAATCATGCTGAGCTGCATACCTCACCAGACCTGCAAATATGTGTTAAGTGACTTGAATAGTGACTTTTCTGCTTTTTACTCGTCCAGAAGGTAAAAGATAAAAGTTGACCCTCACAGAAGGCTTTATTCTATATTTCTACAACTGGGGATTATGAAGTGGCAATAATCCACCATGTTTACATGGGGCAAGGTGGAGAAACGAGGGCCCGGGTGGGACTCGAACCCCAGACTCCCGGGTGAGAGTCAGCCAAAGGGACATCCCCTTGGCCAGGACGCTCACACTGTCACACACACTTTACTGGATCACAACGTGTAGTACTTTTATACCAGATCACACGATTGTGTCCCACGGGTTTAACACGCTATAATAATGTTCTGTGGTTAAACATTTGTAAGTCATTAACAGGTCATTTGGGCCTTAGATAATGATAAACAAATCATTTATAAATGCATTTATTAATGTTTTGTGAGTTATTAACGGATCATTTACAAGGTATTAGGTAATGTGTATCATTTATTTATAAAGGCTGGAGATGATATTTACAAATGCTTAAATGACCCGCACTTGTATAGCGCCTTTCAAAGTAAGGACTCCAAAGCACACTACAGTGTATCATTCATCCATTCACACACATTCACACACTGATGGTGATGAGCTACGATATAGCCACAGCTGCCCTGGGGCGCATTGACAGCGGCAAGGCTGCTGATCACAGATACCACCAGTCCCTCCGACCACCACCAGCAGGTGGGTTAAGCATCTTGCCCAAGGACACAACAGCAGATTTCTCTGTCCGGAGCCGGGATCAAACCTCCAACCTTCCGATTACTGGACAACCCGCTCAACCTGTTGAGCTACTGCTGCGCAACAGTCCTTCATAAATCACTGGTGCATCATACTTTTACATCTAGTTATTGATGATTGTGACTTTAGAAAGTTTTAAATAATCTACAAACCATTATCACATCTGCAAATGAGTGTTTGCACATGTTTACTTAGTCATTGTTTAAGTATTTGTAAAAGTCAGCCTCTAAAAATGATTTATTAATGACTCACTAACACTTACAAATGTGTAGTGACACACCACTATTATAAAGTGTTACTGAATATGTATGATGTTGTGATGTGTTTATTTCCAGTGTCACGGTTTCTAATCACCTCCACGGGGGCCCTGTACATCCTGGACGTGCAGATGGAGGATGGGCTGTACAACTACAGGTGTATGACGCGCCATCGCTACACAGGAGAGACCCGACAGAGCAATAGTGCCCGTCTCATTGTCTCAGGTAAGAGGCTTCGTGAAGACTTGTCAGCCAGCTTCACATAACCCTATGTTCATGAAGCATAATTGAGCCAAGTTCACAACCTGATGGGAATGTTAGCATTCTGCATCAACAACAGAATTATGGGATGATACACTGGTAAAGGTGAGCCATTCTGCCATACAGGCCAGCTAAATAAATTAATTGTGGAGTTTCTGCATTTTGGCCTGATGCCACACCTGTAGCATCTGCTCATCAGCTGTTGTGAAATTTGAAGCACAACAACCGTGTTGACCAGGACTTGTGTGTATGTTTATGTTTATGTATTTAGCAGACGCTTTTGTCCAAAGCGACTTACAAGTGATAATCGGCATGTTCCCCTTGAGGCTAACAACAACAATAACAACAACTTGACATCAATCATGGAGAGGAGGGAACAAAGGAGTGGATGGAAGAGAGGGGGGACGGGCACAGGGAAGGTGCTAGTTAAGAAGATGCTCTCTGAAGAGCAGGGTCTTTAGGAGTTTCTTGAAAATCAACAAGGAAGCCGCAGTTGTAGTAGTGCTTGGTAGGTCATTCCAGATTTGTGGAACGATGCATGAGAAGAGTCTGGATTGTCCTGAGCGTGGTGTAAGCACTGCTAGCCGACGATCCTGTGATGACCGGGCTGAGACGTAAACCTTTGCAAGAGGTATTCAGCCGTATCATCTCGGACTTTGTATGCTAGTGTTAGTAATTAGAATTTGATGTGTGCTGCTTGCGGTAGCCAGTGGAGCTCAATGAACAGAGGGGTGATGTGTGCTCCTTTTGGATGATTGAAAACCACACGCGCCGCTGCGTTGTGGACCATTTGAAGAGGTCTCACAGTCCAGGCTGGAAGACCAGTTAGAAGGGCATTGCAGTAATCGAGGGTGGAGATGACAGTAGATTACACCAGGAGCTGGGTGGCATGTTGTGTTAGATATGGTCTGATCTTTCGTATGTTATACAGCGCAAAGCGGCATCAACAAGCAACAGAGGCAACATGATCTTCAAAGGTCAGGTGTTCATCAATCACAACACCCAGATTTCGAACTTCCTTTGAAGGAGCAAGAGATAGGAAGTTATTTTGGACTGAGATATTGTGCTGTATGGATGGGTTTCCTGGGATGACAAGTAGTTCAGTTTTAGAGAGGTTGAGTTGGAGATGGTTGGATTTCATCCATTTTGATATGTCAGAGAGACAGTTTAATATTCGTGAGGAGACAGTGTGGTCGTCCAGTGGAAATGACAGATAGAGCTGGGTGTCATCTGCATAGCAGTGGTAGGAGAAGCTATGTGATCGAATGATCTCACCCAGCGAGGTGGTGTATATGGCAAAGAGAAGAGGTCCTAGTACAGAGCCCTGGGGGACTCCTGTTGCAAGATGGTGCACGGTAGAGGATTGTCCAAGCCAAGATACACGGAATGATCGTCCTGTGAGGTACGATTCAAACCAGGCATGTGCTTTCTCTGTGATGCCCATGGTAGAGAGTGTGGACAAAAGGAAGCCATGGTTGACGGCGTCAAATGCAGCCGATAAGTCGAGCAGGATAAGCACTGAGGGGGAAGCACTTGTGGGGGAACCCCAGCCATTAGAAACAAACCAGAGTTAAAGAAAATGCACTAACCACCACATAGTCATCTCCTGTAAGAGTTTCATACATGATCAGTCTTGCATGTCCCTCCTGCAGATCCAGCTAACTCAGCGCCCCACATCCTGGACAGCTTTGAACGTCGTGAGGTGATGGCATCTCATCGAGTAGAGCTGCCCTGCAAGGCATCCGGCCACCCTGCTCCCAAGTACCGCTGGCTAAAGGACAACCGTCCACTGGAGCCAGACACGCGCTTCAGACAGAGTGTGACAGGCCTGCTGATAGAGAGAGCCCAGCCCAGCGACACAGGGACGTATGTGTGTGAGGTGTGGAATGGCTACGGCAATGCTGAGGTGGTCGGAAGGCTGATGGTGAAAGGTCAGTGCTCATTTGTTGTGTGGGGACGTAGCAGCAGTCTGACGGGTAGAACTAAACATGTGGCTCGAACTACTGAATGTTCTTTGTGTTTTATGAAACTAACACGGTTGAGTTCAGAGCTCACACTTTAGCAGACGGTCTGTAAGGCAGGCAGCCACCCACCAAACCAGATGGTGGACCTCACACTGAGAGGTCACACCCTCTTCCTTCTTCTTTCAAGGGACTGTGGAGCTGATGAGAATATCTCATTTGTGGACTTGCTCATGACCCCCGGCAAGCATGGGCCGCCAACACCACTGGCTTCAATCAAAGGTCCACCAAGGGCTGTCCCATGAGGACAGTTGAACAGTGTTTTACTGGTGTATGATGGAGACAGTCTACATCAGTCTGGGAACTAGTCTGAGCTGAGAGAAAGGAGCTTTAATAACAGAGATGCGGTGCAAGACCTCGTCTTCTAGAGGACATTTGCATGAAAAGAATCAGAAATAATCATTAAAAAACAATTTTTAGTTTTCCACACCTTTAAAGCATCCATATCAATCTTCTTTCATCATCATCATCATCATCATCATCATCATCATCATCATCACTTCCAACAACCAGCACCTTTTACGTTCCAGTAACTTCATCTCTGCGGTTATTCCCAAAGCTCGCACCTCCTTTGGCCGCTCCTCATTCCAGTTTGCTGCTTCCAACGACTGGAATGAGCTGCAGAAACCACTGAAGCTCACTACCTACATTCCATTATCTACCTTCAATAATTCACGGTGATCAATAGTTTCTGATCAGTGTTCCTGCTTCTGAGTATTAAAGACTGTTTTAGTCTGTTCTGACTGCTTGTACATGTTATATATGAGAACAGTCCTTTGTTTTTATGTCTGGCTGTTTAATCTGATTTTATCTTGTATGTTTTATCTTAGCTGTTGTTCTTTGGTGTAAAGCTAACTATGTGTCTGTTGCCTCTGCCTCGTGGCCAGATTGTCATTGTAAAGGAGAATGAGTTCTCCATCCACTCATCTGGATAAATAAAGGTTAAATATGAAATAATTAATAAGAAATACACAAATATGGAGTATCAGCACTAGTACCCTCATCAACAACCAGCCATACGTCCAATACATGCCTACTGCCCTGTAGTGGAGCAGCTACAGGTGGAAACTGGCCTTGCTGTTATTGTTCTACTGTTAGAATTAAATAATGTTACTAAATATAAGTTATTTTTTTTAATTATGCTGACCTTTGTAACAGAAATACCAATAACATACCACTATTCTACTCAAACTGTCACTGACCCATCACCTTTCTAACAAACAGAAGCCCTGAAGTTGATGGTGAGCCCACGGAAGGTGAAGGGCAGCGTGGGAAGCCAGGTTTCATTGACCTGCAGTGTTACCGGCTCTGAGGAGTATCAGCTGTCCTGGTACCGCAACGGCGAGCTCATTTATCCCAGCAACAGTGTCCGGATGACGGGCCAAAACAGAGAAAACCTGGTTATGGCTGGTATGGCCAAGAGCGATGGAGGAGCCTATCAGTGCTTTGCCAGAAATGGCAAGATGTCTGCCCAGGACTTTGTTCAAGTCCTACTAGAAGGTCAGAGTTCACAGTAAGGAATGTTTAGGTGGGGGCATGTATGAACCCAACCTGAGAACTCAACAGGTGGAGTTGAGTTTTTAAGCTCCAGACCTCACTGGTCTTGTGCACCAAACATTTGTTTGTGAAGAGTTCATTAGCAAAAAACTATTTTTTATATGAACTTTCAAAAATAAAATGTATCTGTTATTTTTGGACTTCAGTGAAAATTAGTAAAAATTAGGTGATTTTGACCAAGAACAGAATCAATCTGTTTTTGCAAACGACTTCTTCATGTGTTCCAGTGAAAAGTTCACTTTATTTCTACAGCACCAAACCATGAGTAAACATTCCAGTACAGGTCAGGTCATTAAGCCAGTCAGTAAAACGTTTTCTATTTAAGGAACCCAGCAGGTTGCATCGTCACTGACTAGTGTCAGAGTCTTTACAGCAATCCTCATACTAAGAAAGCATGCAGCGACAGTGGAGAGGAAAACTCCCTTTTAACAGGAAGAAACCTCCAGAGGATCCTGGCTCAGTATAAACAGCCATCCACCACGACTCACTGGGGATTCTATTTAGTATTGTCTTTGTCTTAGTGAATCTACAATTAACTGAACAGGTGAACTAGTAGTAGCACATTCCATGCTCAAGAAAGTAAAACTTGATTTATTGGTTATGAAAGATTAAGTGAATGGGCATTTCTAACTCCTCTGTCTAGATGGCACCCCCAAGATTCTGGCTTCGTTCAGTGAGAAGGTCTACAATGTCAACGAGTTTGTGTCGCTGTCATGTATGGTGAAAGGCACACCAGAACCCCGGGTGACATGGGCTCTGGATGATGAGCCAGTGATACGGGACAGCCGGCACCGGATTTCCTACTACACCAATGCCGAAGGTCACATGGTCAGCCACCTCAACATCACACAGACCCAGGTCCCTGATGGAGGGGTGTACCGGTGCATCTGCAATAATTCGGCCGGCACTGTTTCCTACCAGGCGCGAATAAACGTAAGAGGTGCTTGTCAGATCAACTCTTCCAGCACACCATCACATATACACACCAACATGTCTTGAGATATTCTGACTTATGCTTCTTGTAAGTAGCCACAGAGAATGCCTCCTGACATGCAGAGATGAATGTCTGATCACGTTTCTTTAGACACTGTCTAGACGAACCCTTATTCAGCTCTTCCTTTTCCGTATCAGAACCGTGGAAAGTCTGCAAATGTTACTGTTAGTTTTAACATCCTAAAGCGTTTTTATGAGGATGATTCTTGGGTAAATACAAAGAGCAGTTAGTGTAATTACAGGTAGCCAACTGATTGTATTATTTTAAACAGCGTAGCTAGTAATAAACCCAAACCACTGGTTAGCAGTGTGATTCTTTGTCATGAGAATGATGGATGCCCTAACTGGTGAAGACAGACCTCCATAGAAACACATACAAATGAGGACATGCTTGTTTGGAGCAAATGAAAGAGCCAAGAGTTGGTGAAGCTGTATGTTCTTCTTCACAGAGAGCTGTGGAGGGTTCATGCTTACTGGGACACGTGGTTCACTGAAAGCTAAAGGGGGTAGTTTCATGACCAACATCCATTCGGTCAGGCAGCCTAGGCAGTCAAAGTAAAGTTCTCAACAAGACAGTAGGTTTCAAAAACAAAACTGTTTAAGGAAGACAAGTAAAATACATTTACTGATATTCTTATTTAGTTTTTTGCCACTCAAATTGACTGTTTTCAAAGAAATGTCATGAGGCATTCCAACACTCTGAACCAGTCTATTTCGTGTTTGATGCTCTCAGAATAAACCAAGGCATGTAAACTTTGTAGTGTCCTTAAAACAGACGACACGGCACAGCTGACATTCAGCCCACAAACTGGCCTCAAAATCATTTTAAGAGAGTTTTCTCTCTGATGTTTCCTCAAGGGCCTGCCAGCATCAGACCAATGAAAAACCTCACTGCCATCGCTGGGTGGGACATGTACATCCACTGCCGAGTCATTGGTTACCCCTACTATTCCATCAAGTGGTACAAGGACTCCAATTTGCTGCCATACAACCACCGGCAGCGGGCCTTCGAGAACAACGGAACCCTAAAGCTATTTGATGTGCAGAAGGATGTGGATGAAGGAGAGTACACCTGTAACGTTCTGGTGCAACCTCAGTTGTCCACTCACCAGAGCGTTTATGTTACTGTGAAAGGTAAGATCCCAAGTTCTGAGCCGAGTTCAGTCATAAAGTATGAGACTGCCGTTAGATCCCACCTGTATTATCTCAGTCTTTAAGATACTGTTCTACAGTAGTTTGGGTTAGTGGTGTGCCATCCAAGCCTCATGAAGCGCTTCGAAGCATCCTCTACTGTTCCGGGCCTGCCAGACTCATCCACTGTCTACACAGAACTAGTCTGGTTCCTCACAGGCAGAGAGGCACATGAGGGGTGGGACTAGCCAGCTCAAAAATTGCCAATCAGAAAAATGGGGGAAATGCAACGCTGTAGTTTTTTTTTAGCTGTAGTCAAAAATGGCGTCTGGCGATAGCGCAGACTTCTTTCTTTAGAAGAAAGGCTTTTAGCGCTTCTACTTGTTGTTTTAAAGGCACGTCCAAGTCACTTAGGACAGACAGCTGCAGCAAACTCCACTTCAGACGCCATGCTTATGAGAAACTCAGCATTGCAAAGTATGACTTACACTGCTCAGCGCTGATTGGCTCGGTTAGAATTCTCAGGGGATTGGGCTATTTGAATGGAAGAGTTCCCAGCCCTAATGTTTCGCATGAGGAAGCATGGGCTGGCTGGCTGGTCAGGCTACCGATACATGACTCAAGGCCTTGAACACATTAGCTGTGGTGCCATCTAGTGGTACCAGGTAATATTACAATGTATGAAAATGCTTCCCACGTTTTGTCGGAGGACGTCACTGCAGGCAAACGTGCCTCAAATCCGATTTGTTCTGAGTCTGAAAAGTCTGAACAACACAGATGTGATTTTTTTCAATCCGACCCAGGTCACTTTCATTTGTGGTACTTATTCCAATACATGTCTGCAGTCCACTTATTCATGTTGCATTAAATTTGCCTCCATCATCACTGATCAGCAGAGGGCAGTGTGGTGTGTTGATGTTCCTGAGGAGAAGCGCTGACAGAGACTCCGAGGTCCGGCTAGACATGCCGTCTAGTTTTGCAATAAAATTAATGAGAGTGGAAGGAGCTGCTGGAGCGAAGCGTCTCTCCGGTCTCCGTGAGGACAGTAGGAGGGTCTTCATTCAGTCACCCGTGCATTAACTTAATACCAGTAACTTTCAGTGAATAATAATTCGGGAAGACAGCAGGAATAAGGAACAAGTATATTTTATGGTTTTTACAACCTGACAGGAGTGATGCTGAGATTATGGATGAACTCTGTCAATCACAACTCCACTCAGAAACAGGGACCAAACTAAGACAACCCACAAATCTCTGTGAGGTTTAGCCGCTTTTATTTTGACAGTGACACAGAAAACGAACCAGTGGCATGACTCAGGCAGAAGCAAATTTCGAAGCGAGGCTTCATGGACACGCCTCCTTCCTGCGCGATACAAGCCTCGAAGACTCGCTTCATTTGTCCCATCACTAGTTTGAATGGAATTTGACAAACAGGACTTTCTCAGTCCATAAAGATGCAACACTACTTAAATTTGGTGTCCCCCTTGGCTCCATTTCGGGCCCAGTCCTGTTTTCATTGTACAGGCTGCCTTTAGGGTCCATTCTTCTACAACATGATATTCAGTTCTGCTTTGCTGATGATGACCTCCAGCATGATTTATTTGATCCTCTTTTAAAATTTAAATGTGGCCTTGTAGTTGTTCAAACCATCTTCTTTCACTTAAAGTTGGGATTGGGTTCAGCAGCAGTGAAGCTCCACTTATCTCCACAGATCTTTCAAAGTTCTTCCTGCTTTCATCACAATAAACCTCTGTGTTATCCTTTCAATAGCTGAAGCTAACAACGTGAGGAAAATGTGATCATATGACTTCTGTTTTCCACAACCTTTTGTTCAACGTAGGATTCGTGTGGATTCATGGTCTGGCTTTATCCTGCCTCCAAAATCTCACATCTTCTGAATCTTCTGTCTGGGCTATTCTGGTCACATTGGTTATTTGGGCTGTGAAGACTGACTACATTAAACCCAGATTTGCAAATACATTCTCTGGTACTACATCCCTGTGTGTGGATGTCACTTCATCTCTGCACACTGACTGTGTATGTTTTCCCATCACATCAAGCACCACATGTAGAAGATGCTCTAGAGCAGATACTTATAATACACATAAAGTATATGATGATGGAACTGTGTACGACTAAAACACACTCACCATCCCTGTCATCCAGATGGTTCATCTGGAGCTGGATGTGTGGCAGCACTGTGTGTATGTGTGTGTGTGTGTGTGTGTGTGTGGGGATGGGGGGGGGGGGGGGGGGCACAGTGTAGGCAAAGCTAGGCTGCCTTTCTGCCTCAGCTAATTTGCCTCCCAGCTGTTTGGCATTCCGCTGCAGCCAACAAGGGGATCCCCAGGAGTCCATTAGGCCTATTTTGTTGAGAATTAAATAAGCGCCGAAGTGCTGCTTATTCCAATAGTATTTTAAATCATTAATTTTCAGAGCAACTAGTTCTCACGATTGCTACAGCGTCCCTGGAGAGCAACTGATAGAATAAATGTGTACATGTTGTTGGAGGATTGCTTCAGCGGCTCCTCGTGGGCACTGAATCTAGACTATTCATGCTAAACCAGGTTTCAACATGAAGAACAACACGACAGAGAGAGAATCGTAAGCCACATTAGAGGTTAAACATCCAACTAAATTTGTATCTTTTACAGTTCCACCCACTATCCAGCCGTTTGAGTTTCCTCCGTATTCCATCGGCCAGAGAGTCTTCATCCCCTGTGTGGTCATGTCTGGTGACCAGCCCGTCTTCATCACGTGGCAAAAGGATGGTCGGCCAATCCCTGCCAGCCTCGGTGTCACCTTAGACAACATAGATTTCACCAGCTCCCTGCGGATCTCCAACCTTACACTGGCACACAACGGAAACTACACCTGCATCGCTCGCAACCAGGCTGCTGCGGTGGAGCACCAGAGCCAGCTCATCGTCCGAGGTGAGGGTGGTGGGGGTGGGGGCCGGTTTCTGCCTCTCCTGAAGCTAACCTATGTAAATAAAAGATATACACTGCCTAGCCAAAGAAAAGTCTCCACCTAAGCAGACTGGTTGGAGCCGCCTACTGGATAATGACTGCATGGGCGATGATCCCTCAGCTGCAACAAGTTTTTTACCCAAACTTCTCATTTCTTAAACAATCAGGTGGAAAGACGCATCTGGTGGTCGTAGAAAAGAAGTTAGTCTAGAGCTAATTCAGTTTTACACTTGTGTGTGCGTATGTGTGTGTGTCTGTGCGAGTGTGTGTGTGTGTGTGTATATGTGCATGTGTGTGTGTGTGTGTGTGTGTGTGTGTGTGTGTGTGTGTGTGCATGTGTGTGTGTGTGTGTGTGTGTGTGTGTGTGTGTGTGTGTGCGTGTGTGTGTGTGTGTGTGTGTGTGTGCGTGTGTGTGTGTGTGTGTGTGTGTGCGTGTGTGTCTGCGCGCGCGCGTGTGTGTGTGTGTGTGTGTGTGTGTGAACTCTGGAGTTGCTCCTTGATGCCACAGATTTGTGATGATTTAGCTTGTTTCTTTATTTTACTCAGGAATAAGAGACTCAGTGAATGTGTGTCGTAATCAAAGCTAAAGGCGGTCCAACAAGATAATACAGTGGGTGTTTTTTTTTGTATGGTAACTTTTTTCGACCAGGCAGTGTTTAAACAAAACGTCTTTGAAGAACTTATTATAAGCTCATATTTATGTGCTGTCCAGTACAAAATGATCAATGACCCGGTACCAGACCTTGGTGCTTGGCTAAATCACAACATGAACACAGAATTTCAGATGCAGCGGCTCAATCTGAAGATTTTTTTTTTGCAGTTCCTCCCAAGTTTGTGGTTCAACCCAAAGACCAGGATGCTATCTATGGAAAAGCCGTGATCCTAAACTGCTCAGCTGAAGGTTATCCAGTTCCCACTATTCAGTGGAAGTACTCTAAAGGTAAACACTAAACTGGATCTTTTCCCAGATATTCCTGTTGAATAGGAAAAACACTGCTTGTGTATTTTGTGTTTTCATAGCACACATTTTGTGAAGACTAGCCCAGCTAACAGGCGTCATTTTATTGGCACATAAAAGATTCTGGGTTGGGGTTGGGGTTGAACCGCCCTCATAGTCCTGAAACTCTGGGGAAAACAAGGACAGAAACATGGTAAATGCCCCCCCCCCCCCCCCCCCCCAAGGCACTATACAAAACAGTCATTCACCCATTCATACACACATTCACAAGCTGGTGGTGAAAAACTACAATGTAGCCACAGCCGACCTGGGGCCGACTGACGGAGGTGAGGATGTGGAGCACTGGCACCACCGGTCCCTCCGGCCACCACAAGCAGGCAAGGGGGGTGAAGTGTCTTGCCCAAGGACACAACGACTGTAACAGACACGGCTCAAACCCGCAACCCCGTGACACTTAACTCTGCTTCTGCAGAACAAATCCACATATATTTACAGACTAACTGCAGTAGTGTGGCTTTAAAAGTTTAATACTTCCTGTTGGTCATCAGTAGCTCCGTGCTGCACCATGAGGTTCCTGTTTCTGCGGCAGAACTCTGATAAAAAGTTGTTTGGTTTCAGGTGCCGGTGTTCCCCAGTTCAAACCCATCGCCCTGAACTCTGGCTTCCGGATCGAGGTTCTGGTTAACGGCTCGCTGCTCATCAAGCATGTGCTGGAGGAGGACAGCGGCTTCTACCTTTGTAGAGTCAGCAACGACGTTGGGGCTGATGTCAGCAAGTCCATGTACCTGAATGTTAAAAGTAAGTCTCGGTGTGAAAGAGGCCCCTGTTGGGTCTGCTGTTGCTACACGTGTGAGTTCTGTCTCCCAACGAACAGCTTCTTCTTCACCAACGCCTTCCATAGATCTCAGACCTTCATCGCTACCCTCTCCTCATCCAGCTCTTCCTACCCTTTCTGTCTTTCCCTTTCATTACATTTTTTAATCACAATGTTTTATTTTTCTCATTTTAATGATATTTTAATCACGTCTATTTTTGAAATGTTTGTTCCTGTGAAGCACCTTATCTTCATTTAGAAAAGATCGTTTCTTCAGACCATCTGCCTGACAGCCACATCTCAGTGTCTGTCTGTCCTCGAGTCATCCAGCAGCCACAGGCCCCCGGTCCTTTTTAACCGTGTTTTAAACCCCACAGGGTCCGGTTTGAAGGCATCAGCGAAACATTTAGAACACTAACATCTCAGCTCTCAGGTTTTCTGTCAGTCACAATGCTTTAGATCCGGGTTAGGGGTTTGTGCGTATGCCTGCAGACCCCTGAGGGTGGGTTGCTGTCCTTGGGCTTCCTCTTGTTCTTGTTTGTGTCTCCTCGGTACCACGGCTAGGGTTACCTGGGGAGACACACCTTCATGCACCTCTCTTGCATCTGCATTCAGACAACACGCTCGTTGACCTTTAAAGCATCTCCCTTTGCTGTAACTGAAAAGTAGAAAAGTGTAATTGGTGAGGCGGTGGCGTCCGGCTCTGCTGTTTGTTCAGGGCAGTCTTCAGCATTTGAGCAGCGGTGTCTACCTAAGAGGCTTAGGAGCCAATTATGGAGGCACACAAGCTGACACATGCTGAGGAACTCACGTGATAAAGAGGGTGTGATGGTTGTCTGTAAACACACAGAGGGAAACTAATAGAAAGACTGATGAATTACACTAAAGTTTACGTGGAAAAGATGCTTTCAGGCGCACAGACACACCCATTCCACCCAAGAGTGCACCCTATAGTGTAAGATGCAGATACGGAGCAGGTCACTGCAGCCATTACTAAAGACTAATAGGCTGGTCGGCTTAGCAGGCGACTCCAAAACATCCCACTCCTCCGTGCTATTGTGGTGAAATGAATTGCCGCTATTGCGATGTCATAACTTGGCACTTTCATTGTTATGGGTGTGTGTGCATAGGATAATGTCTCATCGTAATACACCATGCATCATCTGCCGGCTGTGCTAACAGCGTGCAGAGCAGGCTTGCATTCCTTCTACAGACTTAAACCACACGAACGCTCTAAAAGCACCAGTGTGCATGTTTCTTCTTCCTTCATCAGCTTTCTTTTTCAAGCTCTAATCCGTTTTAGTTCCATTTCAACTCTGGCTGCAGGTGGAGGCTTGAACAAATTAAATTTAATGTCATTTGCATCCAAGCATCCCCTACAGTGCCTCCAAAACAGATGCAATTCAGTCAATTCATTACCGGTGTGCTGTGGATGCTATCAAGTCAGTCAACAGCCACTCTGTGTTTATCAGGACCAATTAAGACCAATCAAGCCCGCTAGACATCTTAATGTCTGAAGATGATGAGGAGGAGGGCAGAGTGCATAATGAGGCTTCAGAGAAGAGCAGCTTTTAGAGAGACTAGCCCTAACTAACCAGACTCGTCCTTTGGTTTCAGTCACGTCTTCACACCCAGTCCTCCTCTCTGCCCAGGCTGCAGGGCTACGTTTGTTGTCATGCTCCATGTTCAAACCAATTGTGCAGCTAAAGGAATTATTTCAGTACATTACAGGCGGCTAGTGAAGCAGTCATTCATGTGCTCGTCCCCTCCCCCAGTCCCTAGCCAGGCCATCTCTTCCCCGGCGCCCACGTGCAGTCTTCCCCCGAGGCAAGCAGCTCGGTGCAGCCATGGTGCGGTGTAGCGGGGTGTGGCCCAAGCACAGCCTGGAAGGAAAGCCTCTCATGTGGGCGCAGACCCACTGTGTAAAACAAGATGGAGGCAAATGAATCGCGTCAGGGGGCATTCAAACCACTCGTGTTCAGAAAAAGGTGAATTTGCAGCAACACTAAAAGGCAGATTTCAGAAAAGATGTGCAAAAACTATAAAGGTCAAATCTGTGCAAGTTTAAAATGTCTCAGTGAACTAAACAGCTGCTGATGGAAGGCTCCGTTTGTTTGGTTTAACAGCTGTTAACAACCCTAACGTTGGCTTAGTCTGGTGATCAGAACCCTTTTAACTGTAGTCCAGATTTGTTCAAGTTATACTCGACTAAAATACTCGAGTTGCACACTTTAGATTTAGGCCCTGTCCACATGTAGCCGGGGATCTGCCAAAACGTAGATATTTTTCTACGTTTTGGCCTGTCATCCACACGAAAACGGATCTTTTTAAAAACTCCGGCCAAAGTGAAGATCTGCATTTTCTCCATTTTGGGTGTCTGCGTGTGGACAGACAAAACTGGAGTTTTAAGGTCCGCAACGTCACTTTCCGCGACAAAAAAATGCTGACATCACGTGTGCGACCTGTGTTTACACTAGCCGACAGCATGGAAGCTCTCAGAGCTGCGCTCTGTCACTACCCGATCCATCAATTGTCCAAGCGCTTTCTGCTTGTTTGTTTTTGCAAGCGGAATTACTGCTCCTTGCGGAAGACCACAGACGAAGGACGAGGTTAAGAATGGGGGAAGTACTGCCGCCTACAGGTCTGGCATGTCCTTAACAACGTATTTATCCGGGTACGTGTGGACAGAGTTTGTTTTTAAAACGCGGTGGTGTGGATGCAAGTTTTTGGAGGGGCGGATATTCGTTTTCAAAAAACCCCGGCTACATGTGGACTAGGCCTTCAAGACTTTAGATTTAAAACTCTGTTTAGACACGTTCTACAACAGTCAGTACCGGTTAGTGTTTGTAGTTCAGTCTCCACATCACGCAAACACATCTGTATAGTAAGAAATGTTTGTTTGCTACGTATAAAGAAGAAAAAGTGCATCATGACATGTTTTGGACAAATAAACCATAAAACATTCTGTAAATTGGGGCTGAACAATTTTGATGACTGACTGGCAGTTTTTCTGGCAAAATTTACAATTTCGATAATGGCAGCTCTATGTGGCGCTGCTGGAGACGGTCACTCAGGAGGGCTTTCTGCTAAAGCGATCAGAATAACAGCTTTGAAGAAGGTTTTTAATGAGGACATAATGTGCAGAAGCTCAGCACACACTGTCTGATAAACTCCGCTGTGTGTTAAAGGGAACCATTGAAAAAATTCCTTATTGTGATGTCACAATAGGACAAACTATCCCCCAGCAACACTGGAGGAGCAGCGGCTCTAGTCTGAGCTCCTCCCAGACATCAGAGATCAGGCTCAGACAGCTTGACCTGCTCCGGTCGCTGATACGAGCTCGAATGTCGGGACGGACTAAAGCAACCAGGAACGTTGGTCCATGAAGTCTTTATAAAAGTCTTTATAAAAATCAGTACTGCATAAATCCAACCCGTGTCATGTTCATGTGGTCCTAAACTGGATGAGAGGGTTAGAGTTTTCAGTTTTTGGACAGATTTCATATGTTTGCTGGAGGTGGAGGGAAGCATCAAGAAGCTGCCGTCCATAGAGCCGTGCTAACCAGTAGCGCCTGTGTGATGTCACTGCTTCTGCTCATGCAGGTCGCTTCAGGGCCACCGATGTCCCACCGTGGAGTCTGATGGAGGTAGGGTTTAAATTACAATGTGAACAACCAGTCAAACATATCAGATCTCAGCACAAGCTGGAATGGAGCATTAATACCTACCGTGTAAATGGCAGAATGACTGATGCTTCACTTCTTTTGTTGTTCGGAACAATTAATCCAGCTGACATGATGCTGAAATAACTATAATCCTTCCCCATCACCTCTGCCTTTTCCCTTTGATCACAGATGAACAGCCTCGCACTGAATTAGCATTCAACCATAATTACGTGTCATCATTACTACTCCTCTGACAGCCCCATTTGGCTAATTGTGTTTGCCACATCACTAACACCATCGGTTGGACTCATTAGAAACATTTTCCTTCTTTTATTTCTGCACTGCGTCATTCAGGGTGTGATTGCTCTGGTGAAAATCAATGGCAGGTCCATTTTCTATTCCTGGCTACTAGAAATGGCCCTTTTTTCTGGGAGCAGAGTCTATAGAGAAAGAGGAAGCAGGAGAGGGAGGCGAGGAGGGGAGGGGAGGAGAGACTGTCCGATGCTTGTTGGCATGGTAACCTGGCCAGGTGAATAGGGAGCCTGGACGAAGAGATGGAAGAAGGGAGGGAGTAGGGTGGTGATTTTTTATTTATTTATTTTTGTCTCAGGGGAGTAGCCTATCAGCAGCCAGCCTATCCCCCACAATCCCTTGCAGGCTTAAGTGTATCATCACTGCCCTCTGGGTTGCTGTGTAGGAACAGGGCTCTCCTCACCTCCACGTCAAAGACACTTTGTTCTGTGGAGCAACACATTATTATTATTAGGCCCGAGCAGCGAAAGTGCTGCGAAGGCCTCTTGTTTTTCCTCTGTTTATTAGGCCCAAGCAACGAAGTTGCAAAGGACTATTGTAACTGCTCCGTTTATTATTAGGCCCGAGCAGCGAAGCTGAAGGTTGCTAAAAAGGTAGCTCAACAGCGCCCCCTTGAAAATTAAAAATACCCCTCCGCTTTGACCCTTTTTTTTATAGTAGAGTGATGAAATTTGGTACAGTTGTAGAACTCAACAATACGCACAGAAAAGTATCTTGCACCCATGGTCAACATCAAATAGGAAGTCGGCCATTTTGGACTGAAGTAGCAATTGTGACCTCGTTTTGGTCGTTTGTAGGGTCTTTATTTGGTTGAACAAATTGGTCATTTTTCTCACGATCGTCTAAAAAATAGTGTGCGATCAATCAGAAGGAATGGACAATTTAAATGAGAAAATAAAACTGACTTTTCGTAAATACTGAAGGGGCGGGGCCAGGCCTCGAAGTTCTAGCACTCGCCAAAAAATTTCAAATGGCTATAATTTCATAAATGAAAGAATTACAGTTAAA